GTTTTGTTTTTCTTTTGGTAGTGAAAAAATAACTGCCAAAGCAATTTATTATTTCTTTCAAATAAATTAAAAAAAAAAAAAAAAAAAGAAAAAACCACAGTCCCAGGAGGGGTTAGGGAGGAGAAGCCGATATTAAATGTTGGACATACCTTTCTTCAGTTCGTAAGGTGAGTCTTTGCAAAGGTCTACTTGGGACTGGCTCCTGATCATTTTAGTGTCTTTAGCCAGGCTCTCGGCTCTGCTGAGGACAGTCTGGTTTAATCCATTGAAGTGGGCGCCGGGGGCGGCGGCGGCGGGGCCGCCGGCGGGGTGCCCGTGCAGGGCCCCGAAGGAGCCGTAGTTCGTGTAGCCGGGGTAGAAGGGCGCCGTGTAGTAGAGCGGCCGGGGCAGGACCGCCCCGTTGGGGAAGGGGCACTGCGCGGCCGGCGAGCGCGGCCGCGGCGGCGAACGCGACGGGCCGCCGCCGCCCAGCACGGCGGTGCCGGGGGGCGCCGCCTCGCCGCCGGCCTCCTTCGCCTTGTCCGCCGAGGTGGCGATCTCGGCCAGCGACCAGAGCTTGGGCTTGGCGAGGGCCGCCTGCTGCGGCGAGTGGATGACGGAGGCGCCGGTGGCGGCGGGCAGCAGCGGGTGCAGGTCGGCGGCGTGCGGCGGCCCGGCCGCGGCGGAGGGCGGGCGGTACGGCGGGGGCTCCTCGCCGCCCGCCGGCGGCGGCCCGCGGCCCGCCGGGCACGGTCCCAGCGGGGAAGCGCCGGGCGCCTTGGGGGGGACGGGCGGCCCGTCGAGCCGCTCCTCCGCCGTCTCTTTGCAATCCGAGTCACTGAGGCCGCTCTCGGTCTCCCGGGGGCCGGGGGACTCCTGGAGGCGCTCGCAGCCCGGCGCTGCCTTGGGATCCGTCGCTCCTGGGGGTGGAAAGGAGAGGGGTGGGGGGCAGCTCTCGGGCTCACCCTGCGCCCCCCAAACCCGCCCACCCACTTCGCCGCCCACTCCTCGCTCCCCGCCGTCGCCAGGCCCGCACCGCTGCCCGCCGGCTCCCCCCGCCACGGTTGCCCGCTCGAGGGGACAGGCAGCCCCGCCACCGCCGCCCCGCACCGGGCCGGGGGCAGCCCCGAGGGCAGGGGCGCGGTGACCCGGCCGAGCCCGCCATTCTACCTGTGTCTGGCGTCCCGGGGTCCCCCTTCTCCTCCAGTTTCTGGGGCTCGTCCTCGTCGTTTTTCTCCAGGTCTATGTTCTCCTCTTCCTCCTCGTCCTCACTGCGGTTTCGCGGGGTCCAGGTCATTTTGTTCTCCTTCTTGAGCCGCCGCCGCGCGTTGGCGAACCAGGTGGACACCTGGGTGAGGGTCATTTTGGTGATGATGGCCAGCATGATCTTCTCGCCCTTGGTGGGGTAGGGGTTTTTCCGGTGCTCGTTGAGCCAGGCCTTGAGGGTGGCCGTGGCGTCCCGCGTCGCGTTCTTACGGTATGCGGGGTCCCCGTAGGGGTAGGAGCCGAGCGGCGCCGCGTACGGGTGGTACCCCAGGGAACCGGCCATGCCCGGCGTGTGGTCGTAGGGCGAACCCTGGGGAGAGAGGGGAGAGCGGCCCAACGAGGCAAGGTCAGGCGGCCGCGGGGCGGCAATGACACGGCAAGGGCAGCGCCAGGGCCTGCCTGCGGCCCCTGCCCGCGCCCTGCAGCCTTTCCCCCGGCGCCGGGCCCTGCCTGGCTTCTCCCCTGGCTCTTTCCCGGGAGGACGGGCGGAAGGGCCTGGGAACTCCTGGGGGGCCGGGAGTCTCCGGCCCCAGGAGGCCACCGGCTGCCTGCAGCAATCCAGCGCCTCTCCCCCAAATGCAGGAGCGGAAAAGCAAGTGGGCATCGCGGCGTGGGGGCGGACAGCGGCAGGGGGACCGGAGCCTTCCCCCCGCGCTGCGATCGCCGTAGGCAACCTGCCGGGCCCAGGCGGCCGGGCGGACTGGGCCGCTCCTCTGCCTGGCCTGGAGCAGGAGGAGGAAAAAATAAAGAGAAGAAGAGAAGAGAAAAGAGAAGAAAAGAAGATAAAAGATAAACAAAAAAAAGGGCGAAGAGGAGGGAAAAGAGAAAGCTCAGAGAAAAGAAAGAGAAAAAAAAACAACACAGAAAAAAAGAAAGAAGGAACTGTGAAACTCTGCCCAGACCCTAAACAGAGGGCAGAAGCTGAGCAAAACTCGCCGGGTTTTTGGGGGAGCTGCGGGGCGCTGGCGGCGGCCGCAGCTCTGCGGCGGGGATGTCCTGCACCCGGGCCGGCGCCGCGGTGCCCCGCGGGCGCGCACGGCGGCGCAGTGCCCTGCCATCCCCTTCACTTCCCGCACAGCCCCGCGGAGCAGCTCGCGGCCATGGGATTAGAGCTCTGCAATATTTAAGCAGCCTAATTATCGCCGTGCAGGGGAAAGTTGCCTGGGTTTATCGCCTGGATTTCTCCCATCGCCGACCGGTGCTGGGTTTATTCCCTTTTCAATCACAATAAGCTAATTGTTGAGGAATTACGACTGCTGTTTTATATACATATATTTTTAAAAAATTATTATTTTTTTTATAGGGAATGAAACCGGTCCCTGCCTGCCCCGGTCCCGCTCTCCCTGGCCGTGCTGGTGGCTCCCCCCGCGCCCGGCCCTGTCCGCCGCTGCCGCCAGCAACAGTGTGCGGCAGCGCACGGCGGCGATGCGGGAAAGTTGGGCGGCGATGCGGGGAGCCGCGCTCCCTTTTGTCCCCGAGACCTCAAAAATAAAATGGGAACAAAAAGCAGGCCCGGGAGGGGGGGCAGGCGCCCGCGGGATGCCGTCGTGCCCGGCGCGGTGCCGCCTGCCCGCGGCTGCTCTTACCACGTAGGAAGTGAAGGCGGCGGCGGCGGCGGCGGCCGGGTCGGTGCCGTACTGGAGATGGGAGTTGTAACCCGGGGAAGGGGCGGTAAAGGCGGTAGATCCGGCATAAGGGGAAAAAGCGGAGCCCGAAGAAGATCTCCCAAGTTCATCGGTCCTGGGTCCGGAGATCACGCTGGTGCTGTACGCCGGACAGGAGTAGAGAGCCAAGGACGCTGACGGCTGGTACAAGTAACCCTGAGGATACGACATGGCCAGGCGCACACATATACCCGGGAGCCCAAGGCGCCGGGAGGGAGCGGCCGCGCTGCCGGGCTGGGGCGGCTGCGGCCGGGGCTTCGCGGGCGCCTCTCCGCCCTCGCCAGCTGGGCAGCGGCGGCACCTTGCTCTGCGCCGGGGCTGCTGCTCCGATTTCGCCTGCAGCCGGGCACCGCTTCCTCCTTTTTCTCCCCCCCTTGCTTTCCCCTCTTTTTCACCCCCCCCACTCTCTCCTATCTCTCTCTCTCTTTCCCCCTTGCACTGGGGGGCTTTTTTTTTTCTCCTTCCTCCTCGCTCTCGCTTTCCGAAGGGTCCTGCCAAGATGCTAAGTTGGAAATTGCAGCTCCTGACGCCTTCTGCGCGGCCCGGCGAGGCTCCTCCTTCGCGGGGTGTTGTCAGTGGAAGGACTGGCAGGACCCCGCTGGGCTGCCGCGGCCGGGCCCAACCAGCGGGAGGGCTCCGCGCTTCCCTGGCCCTCCCCAGCGCTCAGAGGCTCAAGTGCGCCGGCTCCTGGATTGCAGTCACCTCCGAGCCATTTAAAATCAGCTCCAACTTTCTGCATGTGCTAAATACCGTGCGGAGCCGCGGTGCGCCGGAATGCAAGCCAATCAGTATATGAAAAAAAATAGATCTTTAATAAGATTTATTAGCCGCGCGGCTCCCCCACTGCACAGCCACCTCTCCTCGTGCTCTCTGCCCCTGCCCCTCCCTCCACTAAATCACTGGAGGTGGGATATACGGGGGGTGGTGGTACTGTTAGTTTTTCTTTTTTAAACAAAAAAGGAGATTTTCGTCGGGGAAGCGCCGCAGCCCAGTCCAGTCTGGCAGCGCTGGGCTGCGTGGCCGGTCGCCCCCGCGGGCAGGGGCCGTCCCGCCGCCGGACCTGTTGCGGGCGGCTGTGCGGGCGGAGCGGCGGCGGGGGGTCCGGCCAGGAGCGGGGCTCGGCTTCGCGGAGGGCTAGGATTTAGTCTTTCCCAGCGCCGGTCGCGGGAGAGGGGAGATCCGGAGGGGAGCGGCGGGGGCGGAGATGGGTCCGCAGGCACCTCTCAGAGTGCGGGTTTGCCCGCGGATCTCAGGGTATCCTCCCCCTCCCCGGCTTATAGAAGGGTCGAGGGGAAAGCAGATTAAAACCATATGAACCGGGATAAATCCCCGCCGATCAGGAGATGTAATCTCCTATGATTCCACCAGATATATTTTCCAAGAGAAACATATCCCGATTTATTCCCTTCTCGCTTTTTTTCTCCCCTCGCGGCTGAGGCGAAGGCGTCGCTCCCGCCGCCTCGGACCCCCGGTCACCGGGAGCCGGCGGGGCTGCACCCGCCTCGCACCCGCCGTGCCTTTCTCGGTCGAGGGAGGGGGGACGATACAATTACATTTATTTTTTTAAAAATCTATTTTGTTTTGTAACTTTCGCATTTCCCCGACCCTAATGCTCTCGCCTCTGTCCCCAGCGGGACGGACGCGGAGACAGCAAGGGGCGGGGGTGTGTTTTAAAACGGGCAGGCCGGGGCAGGAGCTCCCTGTGTCGCCGTGGAGGCGACACCGACGCCGCCCCGCTCCCTCCCTCCCTCCCTCCTTCTCTCCGGGGCTCCGTCCCGGCGGCAGAATCCACCTCCAGCTGGGCACAGGCTGAGACCTGCCGGGCAGCCCCGCTGCAGGGCCGGGGCCGGGGCTGAAAGGGAAGGGAAGGGCCGGCCAGGCAAGGCGCGCTCTGCTCGCTGGCTTCGGGGAGACGCGGCAGGAGCAGGGCTGGTGAGGGGGCGCCGCCCGCACTACAGTGCCCTACGTTGACTACACCACACTACAGTGCCCTACGTTGACTACACCACACTACACTGCACTACAGTACCCATCAGTCCGCGGCCCCGCCAGTCCCGCCCCCGGCCGTCCCGGCGCATGAGTGGCTGTGCCCCCGCCGGCGCCGGGCGCTCCCCTCCTCGCACGGGCCGGCCGAGCTGTCCCTCAGCGCGGGGTGTGGAGGGGCGGCGGCGGCGCGGGCCGCGCTTGCCGGGGAGTCCGGAGGCGGTGCTGACAGGACGGCGCGCGGAGGCGCTGCGGGCCGCTCCCGACCTGCGCCAGCCCGGCTGGGCTCGGCTCAGCTCAGCCTGGCTCAGCTCGGCTCAGCTCGGCTCAGCCCGGCCCGGCCCGGCCCGAGGTGAGGCAGCGGGGCCGCGGGTCTGACCGCGGGGCGCGGCGGCGGCGCTGCCCTGCGCGCTGGGGCGCCCCCTGACGGGCGGGGCCGGGTCCCCGAGACAGCGGGACAGGGGGACACCGGGACACGGAACAGCGGGACACGGGACAGCGGGACACGGGACAGCGGGACAGCGGGACACCGACCCCGCTCCAGTCGCGGGAGACGCGTTCGGAAGAAGAGGTGGGTGCCGGCACCCTTCTCGGCGATGCTGACGAGCCGCGCTCTGTCTGCTCTCTCTTCTTGCGCCCTCCCTCCCATTTATTTTTGGGGGTTTGTTGGTTTGGTTTGTTTTAATTTATTCTTTTAACGTACAGTGTACGGAGTTTCGTCTCTTTTAAAATCCACGCGGTTCTGCCCCCGTAAGCGGGACGGGTCCCCGGCTCGCACGCTCCCTTTACATGCTCGATCCACACAGGTGTGCACTTTCATCAGTTTTCAGCTGCACGATGTCACCGGTGTTTGTCCCCGGGTTCATTTTGCGATTGCTCTGGAGCGCCGCATTTCTCTTCCCACTCAAAAGCGCTTCTGTCATAATCCTCTGACAATCCCTCTTGTTCGGGGAGTGAGATATCGTCTGGTCAAGTTTTATACATTTAACATTCATTTTATATGTGAGTAGAATAACTAACGGCTTTTCCGTGTTCCTTTCTTTGTAGGGAGAAGCAGAAGTTTTAACCATCTTCCCATGGCATCTGACTTTTTTTGAGGAAGGAGGTAAGGTTAACGTCATGTAAAATTACCCTCTTTATTTCTGATGTTCCACTAATCTTCCTTCTGTAGGCGCACATTTTGGAAACTGTGGTGAGTTCATGCATAGTTTCATGCATTGCAACATAATACCAGAGCTGATTAATAAACGGCAGTGATAGGACTCTTATGCCGCCAGGATTGTAAATGTCTATCAAACTGACATTCTCGCTACATTATGCCACTATTATATTCTTTGCAGTTTTAAAAGAACTGTAGATAATTATTCAAGATATTGAAACATTTAGTTTATAGTTCTATTGCTGTGGTTGTCACCTTCACTTTATATCAAATTTGAGACTCATTTCTTAAGGATGTCTCTATTTTCTGCTTTATTTGCACATTGATAGCTCTGCTGAATGACTAGTCACAGCAACTTTTTCCTCTGATAGGCATATTAAAATGTGAAAGCCTAAGACTAATCTGCTTTACAGGACTTTTGAGCCATGTGGTTGAAGGGAAATAAGTTTGTTTCAAGACCGTTGTTTATGTTGTTCTGTCAGTTCTGTTAACAAATGTGGGGCTTGAGGATGCATTTGTTGCTTCTCTTCATTTTTACTGAAGGTAGGTACATTCGAAGGTATAGATGACTTCTTGGTATCAGGAGACTGAGTACTGTGTGTCTGTCAGTGAAACTATATCAGTGCAAATTGATATTAAATTTCTGGACTTTATATATTTTTCTCATAATTTTTTGACAGATAAATTATTAATTCAATAGACGAAACATTTACCCTTAAAATCTTGCTTAATGATGGGAAGTGCATTCTTAACTTTATTTAAATAAAGGCATGTGAATTTAAATTCTGCTTATATAAATAAATAATTAAAATCACTGTTTTTATAATCTTCAGTCTGATGGGCTAGTCCTGCAAGGCTGTTTGAAAAGATCTTTGGTTAGTTTACTAGTCGGACTCCAGTAGGGTTTTTGACAAGAGGGCAACTTGGATTTGAGATGCCTGCACAAAATATGACCCAAAATGTAGTAACATTTGAATTTGCATGTTTGTTTTTCTACACTGGTTTCTTTTGCATAATTTCATTTAGGGTATACAAACATATGTGGCACAGCATAAAATAGCTTAATAAATTAGTGCATGAATATATAATAGGGATCAGCTGTGAATATTTTCTTTCTGGGAGCAGAAAAAGAAGCAGACGGGTCTTTAAAATAACAGCAAACTGTATTTTAAAAGTACAGCCACTGGTAGATTCTAACTGTGAGTGGTTTGGTTCCAGGTGGCTTGTAGTGAATGGAGTTAAACTTGGATATCTTGGATATGATACACCTTAATTTAATTACTTTAGTAGCTACTTTCTGTTGAAACTTTAAAATCTAACGATCCCGCTTTTATTGCAGTCTTTAAAGATCTAATCGTTCTTGTGTGTGTCTGAGATGTAAAACTTAGTGCAAGGAGAGGCAACAGATTGGTTCCGTCATATGATTTTGTTGGTTTTTTTGAGAGTACTTAAAAGATTATGATGGATAATGCTGTCTTGCCAAAGAATGCCGACACAGGTGTTCATCATTATCTTAATTAAGATCCTGAGAAAATGTCATCTTTCGGCATGAATTATGAAGGGAGATGCATTAGGAGATCATTTCAACTTTTTTTTTTTTTCTTTTTACAAGCGTAGATGAGAAGGAGGCTGTTTTCTCAAAACCTTTTTGATATTTCTTTATCAGAGTACCTGACCTTAGACACTTACTGAATAATTTGTTTCTCCAATTCGATTTGTGAATATATTACCAAGAGATCTGTAAGGGAATCCTCTTAAAAAAATTTTAAAAAGTAATCCCCCTCCCATATATAGTGTATTGTATAAGGCTGGCCTATAAAAAGAAACCCCTGAGACTCAGATGGAAATTGCTGCTGGAAGCATCTGATAAGAGATGTTTTATACACTATATTTAAAAGTGTTAACTCATAACAGAGAGAAATAAATACACGTGAATATTCATTTTTTTTAATTAGGCATGAAGAGAAAAAAATTTTCTTTTCTCATCTTTGCACTACCATGGAAGTAAAACTAATTAGCATGCAAAGAGGAGGGAGGGGCTTGTGTCTTTCTATGTTAAATCAGTACATTATTAACTGAGCTGGAGCTAAAAAAATGCATGTAAAATATTGGCTGTAAAACTTAGGGACACTTTCCTGCGGATACTGCTGCTGGCTTCCCTAGGATGAAGTGCTGGGAGTTACAGGGTCAGTGAGTGCAGTGGAAATGCTGATGTTTTGTGGCTCTTAGCCTAGGTGAACAGTCTTGGGAAGAGCTCTCTCTGCAAGACACCCTCCACTGCTCTGCTGTTCCTTTTGCCTGCACTTACTTTGCCCAAGATGCTCCTTGTTCACACTCTGTGTTTGTGGTCTGAGATATAAACTTGTGAACACCTGGAATAACTCTTCTCTTCTGTGTCTAGCAATTGGGTATTAGTTAGCTTAGATAAAGTTTTGTTTTTCTTTCAAGCCTTTCTATGTAAAGTAATTTTTGTCTGCTAGAAGGAACCCAATTATCAGTCTCAGTTGTTTTTTTTTTTTAAATTGCTTCAGCAAACCTTTTTAGTGAGTGGAATAAAACACAGAAGTGCAGCTGGCAAGCCTTTTAAGCACCTAGTTATTGTATTGAACATGTAACTCCAAAGATCTTGACAGTATTGTGGGAGAACCTGAAATTGTATTTCAGTTTCCTTGAAGTTTCCTGTAATTAACTTAAATGACATTATTTGCTTGAATTTGTTGGCATAATATGGACTAAGTTAGGAATGTCTTTAGAGTTTATTTTACTTACAGTTCCATGGACATATGCAGAAAATAGGCTCTCGGTGAAAAATGAAAAACTGTTCTCTTTCATGTCTGGAACAAGTTTTTCACTTAAAGCAAACTGCATCTACTCTTAGTTGGTCCTTATAACAAATGAAGAGCAACTCAGTGGGAAGGATGGCTGTGGCTCCCCGTGCCATTTTATGGGACATGTGTGTGCCCATAGTTTCCCATATGGTGGCAAATTCCCTTTTGAATGCAGGTGCTGCAGCATGGTGGGAGCTCCTGTAGCTGGAATCTGGCCTCCTGTGTGGGTGTTAGAGGTGGGTGACTTTTAATAGCAGTGTTGTGTTCCAAAGGTTTTGTGCTTTATCTGCTTTACTTACATATATTTGCAGTCCTTATGGCTGGTGTTTGCAAGAGCTCAGCGGTACCTCTCTGAGGAGAAACATAGAGCCAGGTAGACTTTCTAGCCCTACACCCAAATAGTTCTTTTTAGCAGTTAATAATTTCTGGTTTTTATTAATATTAGAGCTTTTTAGTTTTTGTCCCTTAATGTAGATAATGCAAATGTGAATGATTCTTGAAACTGGGTTTTTTTCAGATTAATGTGTGTATTTGTAGAGCCAGAATAATGTGGGTTTTTTAATACATAAATCATTGTTTGAGGGGAAAAAAGCAAAGCAGTTGGACCTTTCAAGGTGAATATGGATTATTATAACAGAGTTTACGGTACTAATAAACTTGGGACTGGTCACTCTTTTACTCTTCCTGAAGGAGATGCATCTTCCTGAGCAACTTCTTTTTTCACAACGGGGCAAAACCTAGCTCCTTCTTTTCATAAGCACATATTTTTTGCAATATTTCTTAGCATTTTGAGCACAGATCAAGAACATAGCATTTACCTCTGAAATAATCTCTGCTGACACCTACAGAAATTTTCATGCCCTTCAGATTTAATTTTATATAGAATAATGCATGGTATAATACGTAGGTCCTCTGTTTTCAATTAAGCTGTATTAGGTAACTGTGCTCTTCTTTCATATCCCATAGCAAACTATCAATATCCAGATGGCAGTGTGCTGGAATAAAAGATAGCTACAGGCTTGGCTGCTACTGTAAAGCCAAGAACTAACATTTTAGCCTGTGTGATAAATAAAACCGAGGCTGAGGCTCTTGGTGTATTGGAGTTGCACTAAATAATTCTACAGCACAGTTTATTACTGGTTTCATTGGATAATATGCAGCTGTAAAACCTGCTTGAAGCTTTTATTAAGAATACTCTGTCATTATAAAAAGGTGCCTACAACTTCTTTATGATATTGGCAGTGCAAGAATTACTTTGTTTGTGCTGGCTTGCTGGCTGTTGTCTAGGAAGGACCTTACTGTATCCCAGCTTCTGTAGACATTAGGTTTCATGAATGTCTCTTGAGAAGAGGGACAGCTCTGTAGAGCCTGGGTTTCAAAGGTTATTTTAAAGGTATTTTTTTCTCTATGCTTTTTCTTAAGTTTATTTCAGTATTTAATTTATTACTTCGGTTAGAATTCAGCTGATATTCTCTGTAGTATAAAATGCGCTACTGTGTCCCTGAGTGAAACTCAAGCTGAGGTCACCCGGATAGATCTTTGAGAGGAGACAGCAGAAGGGCTGAGAGACTTTTATACTGGCTGAGAAAGGGATGGGAACACTTGGTAGAAGGCAAGGGACTAGACCTTTTCTTCTTCCGTTTCTGGCACATCCCATGACCTAGATTTGTTCATGTAACTTCAGCCTCAGTTTACCTAACTGGAACTCTCTGCTTGTCCCACACATGTTCAGGTTTAAATTGGTGTCCGTGCTCATATAATTGTTAGACTGTTGTGCTTTTGAGCAAGAGCAAGTTATTAATACTGTTACTGATTCATTAGCTAAATACCACTAAATTTTTATGTTCCACAGATCTTTGATTTCCATAGGCACCGCTTTGTGGTGAACCTCTCCACATGTCTGCGTTTTTATCTTTATAGAATGCACCCAAGAGCAGAAGCAGTGAGGTTCACAGTGGGGAAAATGAACCCAGCAGTCCATCCTATCCCATACCTGCCTGAGTACGGGAAGAGACCTCATACAAGCCAGAATGCATCTGGGCTTGCAGCTCTTTTTAATCATATTAAGTCCTATTCAGAGTTAATGGTAAGTAGTCTGCTTTTTGTATGTTATGATTCATTAAACAAGTCATTACAGTAGTGGCACATTCCTTTTGGTAGTAGGTTCAGTCTCTAACAAAATCCAAAATTAATGTTTCCCCATCCATCAGCTTTAGTCCTGTTTCTGTTGAGAAGATCATGCAGTGCAGGTGATAAGAATTGTAATAAGTATGCTCTTCTTTTCTTTCTATTTTTGTCCTCCAGGTGAGCTCAGTGAGATGAGATGGTCTCAGCAATGCTGAAGAAGGGATGAAGAGAATTGGAAGGCAGAGCTATTTCAAGACAGGATTCTTCTTCTTTCCATAATGCCCAAACATGAAGACTTTTAAACTTCATTAGGTAGAGTATTGCTAATAGCGTAATATCAATTATGTTGCATGATGTAATATTGCATTGCTACGTTGTTTGGTGATCATGTGGAGGTACATTAAATAAATGAACATATGCCAGAGGCTTAAATGAACATTATGAGTGAGAGTAGTAAATGGAAAAGGTGGGTAATAGAGGAAATGCTAATAGCTTTTTTTAAGCTAACATGTTTTCTTTTTTCAGCTCTTCCATAGCCTGTAATTCTTTGTTTCTTGATAAAGATGGAATGAAGAAAAACACCTTTTCATTCAAGAAATTGAAGCTAGTTCAACTTCTTAACCAGAAAGACTTCACAGTCCTCTTAGCTGTTACAGCATCTTAATGCTTTGTCCAGCAGAAAATAGCACTTACAGTGCTGACCCATAAACATCTGTAGTGCCACAGCATGTGCTGTTCTTTTTTCTCAGGGCTTCCCTTGTCAGGGAGTGGTTGTGAGATGTCTGTTGTGGCACAGCCCTCTGTGACCTCTTGCAACGAAGGATGGAATTTGTGAGTCCTTTTCTGTCTGCAGCTCCCTCCTGAGCCCAGTAGTTCTCAAATATTGCAAGCAAAGATCTGACAGTGTTGTCTGGGAGATGCGACTGACTTAATTATTATTAACATTTATTAAGTGCCTTACAATGGAGGGGAAGAGTCATTGCCTTCATTTTTACAAATAGGAGAGCTGGCATGTAGGAAGGATGAATCTCTTCTATCTTCTGCAATTCTTGACCCACCTAATTAGGTGATTGTCACAAGAAATAACAGCCTGGCTCAGGGGAATGGCAGTGGGGAAAGATGCCGACGCGTTCCGAGTGGCACACTGCTTCTCCCTCCCACCATGGCTTAATGTAGCGAGCACGGTCTTCCCTCCCTGAGCGTCGCTGGCCGGTGAGGAGATTGGAAAGGGCTGAGGAGCCTGAGGCTGTCTGTCGGATAGCTTCATTATAGATCTCACCCAGGGAAAAAGTGAGGTACTGCAACTCATTTCTAGGAGCTACATTTGTTTTTAGCAATTACTCACCCCCTGCCTCCTCCCGCTTCCTTTCGCGATAGGGCGGCCTTTCCCCACGATAAGCTGATCCGCTTCACGGCTGATATTTACACTTAGTTACCCTCTGAGGCACTCACTGTTTCTTCTGGTCTAAGACTTGACTTGTTGTTTTTTTTTTAATAGTTTATTTTGCTAAGAAAGAGAATCTGTCCAGCTGTTACAAACAATAGTGGTTTTGATGTGTATCAATAGTTAGAGATGTGTGTTTTCCATGTAGAAGATAAAGGGACTTAAAGCCTGCTTTAAAAGAAGGCAAACCTTGGAGAGGTTTACTTGATGTACAATATACCCTATTATTTCATTTTTAAAAACAGCATTAAGGGATTTTTTTTCAAGAAAAGAGAAAATAGTTTCATCTTTTTGATTGCATTTTTTTTCTTAGTCTCACAGTTGTGAGATAAATATTCAGGAGTTGGTAAGGTTAATGTGATTAAAATGAGTATGTGATAACGGGCTCTGCACATTAAAGATTAAGAGCTCAAATTATAGACTCCAGAGTGAAACACTCCATGAGCGTTTGTGAATTTTGTTTGTGCAAGGAATGCAGGCTTAGGCCCATGGTTGCAGTTGCACAGCAGTTTCATCCTGTGTGCTGCTTTTTTGTCATGTCTGATCTGCAGAGAATTCTCTCAAACTCTGTAGTGTCAGGGTGAAAATGTAGTGAGGTGGGGGACAAATGAGGAAATAATTTCAGTCCAAGCATTAGTGTTACTCTATAAAAAACGATTACTTTTACACAAATTATTCACATTTACAAAGATCGGATTTATAGCATTCAGACTGCTGTAGTTAATTCTTTATGTATGAATTGATCTTTTATAAAAATGTAATTCCGTATACAACATTTAATCTTTAAATGCAAGTTGAAAATATATTAGCAATTCATTTATGTATATTATGACTTTATTTCCCCTGTACTCTGCAGTCATTTCCCTACCCTAAAGTTGAATCGTTGTGTGCTTAATGAAAATTAGATGTGAAATGTAATATGTAGGGCACAAAGAAGCCTTGAAATCCTTATTGCTCTTAAAAAGACAAAGGTACCTCAGATAATTCTCCTTTCTTAATCTACTAAGAATTTGATGCATAATTCTGTTACGAGTGATTTGGAGTGAATGAAACTGAAATATTTTTAGAAGTAGTATTAGTACTAGATATTATTGCTTACCTTTTATGAAGCCTTATGAAGTTTTGTTTTAAAATTTAAAATGGTTTGCATTTTGGGAAGCTAATTTGAGTCTCCCATTGAGAAAGAAAAGTGTCTTGGACTTTTGTGGAGAGGGGAGCCTTGCTGTTCTATCTGTAAAATTTGCTAATGTTGCAACCATTGAAATAAAGTGTTTGTTTACATAACAGCAATGGCATTTCTCCTCCTCTTCCTTGTGGTTTTGTCCAACTAGATGTTATGAGTGGCAGTTGCAGTGACTGCTAAGTGTTTAAATGATGACACCATTATGTGAAGTGATTTTGAAATGAGAGATTCCAGCCAAGAATTACATCTGCTCTCATCTCCTTCAAATCATACTCTCTGGCTGTGCAGATTATGATTGATTTGTTTGTGACAGATTGCAGGAAACAGTCATTGATTTTTCAATATTTTACCTTAAAATTATTTACAGTTGTAACCAAGGGGAGGTATTTCCATGGGCTGTCAGCCCCTGAAAGACTGGGATAATATTCCCTGCTCCCTGACAAGACAAATTACCCGTAATGAGTGCAGTAGCTGAAGGGTATACTTTTATTTTAAAATATGTCAATAACCCCAGTGACTAAACGAATATTGATTCAGCATAATGAAGCCTGAGTAATGTGAAAATGAGCTCTTCAAGGAGCATGGTAAAGACTTTCTTTTTAGCTTGTAGCAAGAAGCTTTTCATTCTTTACTGTTAGATAGTTGAAATGTGCAATCTTAAACAACTCATCCTTAAACAGAAGTAATATGTAGAATAATGTAACAAAAGAACTTCAGGGATTTTCTGTTTGGTTTTTTTCCCCTTCTTTTTTTTTTTTCCCCCAAGTTTTTGTCTTCAATATATTTCAGGAGATCAAACATTTAAAGAGAAAAGTGCAAGTTATCCAGGACAGAGATAGAATTACTATTGGTGTAAATGTCTTTTGCAGTAATATTCTTCAGCCAGCCTAATGGCATTTTTAATGTGGATTCTGAATATGGGCATGGAAATATATCTAAATAAACTGCAGATTTGATTTCATGTTATTGACTTCTTGGCATAATGATGCGTGTTCTGTGTGATCGGTCTAATATTCTTGTCCTTTAACAGTTTAGAGTAGCTGGTTTATGAGCACCCAGATATACTGTGTTATAAAACTTAGTTACCATAGTGCACATTTTTCTTTCTGTAACATGTAGCACTGCATTTTTCTTACCAAATGAGAATTTTCAAGCAGTGATTCATTTAAATTACAGTAACTTATGCAGTGCCATAGGTGTGGTGTGGAAAAGCATCTAATAGATTAATACGAATGTACTTCAGTTGTTCAGGGTAAGGATTAGATTTAAGGCCATGCTGAGGTACAATTCTTTTTAACATTGAAAGAATCGAACACTAAAAAAAACCCCACCAAACCACCCTATCATGTGAAAGGATCAATTGGTCATTTGTATTCAAGAGCATTGTGCAACAATGGGAAGGCTCTGCAGAGGCACTGAGTATAAATAGCTGTGTAATCCAGACATACACAAAAAGATATCTTCTTGAGGTGTTTTTGTATAATGTGTCAATTATGAAACGATGTCATAGCCAGAAGCATTTAGTGAGCATGTTTGGGCACGAAGACGACTTCCCTTATTTTCTGAGGACTGACTTCAATTGCATCCAACTAGCTTGTGAAAATCTTCAGAAGGATGTTTTCCTATCAGCACACAGGTGATTTTTTTCCAAATGTCATTCCTTTAGCACAGCTAGAAAGTATTTCAGGAGGCACTTGAGAACCTGTGGCATTGAGAGTTAAATGGCAACGCTGGAATGTGAGATATGTTCCTGTTTTTACTTTGTTAATTTTCAGAAAAAAATGTGATGTACTTTTGAGTGGGTTACAGCTGTAAATAATTGTACTTTTGAGAGGGTTTGTGCACAGCACCTGGGATTTCCAAAATTTTGGAGAATTATTAATGGTGAGGCAGTAATAGACTCAAATATATAGCCCTGACAACAGGAGACTTTGGGGCTTTTGTTAAATGTTACAAGAGGTCTACAAATGTTCCAATGTTGAACCTTAATTTCCTGCTCGGTGGTATTTTACACATCCCGAGTTCTCTGCCTGTTTTCTTTGTTTCTGTATGTTTTATTTCTTTGGCCAACAGCAGGAGATGGGAGGGGAATGCTCTTTTTTGGTAGCTTTCTCACAGTAGCAAGGAAGAGGGAGACTGATCAGGGCTGGGTGCCAGTTCTGATGCAGACTGAAGGGCAAATAAACGTTTGCTTAAACAACATCTCCTTTTCCTGAATAACTCTGCATGAGCTCAGTGGTACCAAACTGAATAACAGCAGATACTGCTGGAGGTACTGCTGACAGCGAAACTAAAGTGGGCTCTGCTTGCAAGCCATTGGCTTGTTTCACTTGCAAGACAGGTAACAACTCTTGCTTTGCTGCTTTTCCCAAAGATGAGTTTGCTTATTAAATCTCTGGCATTCTAGCTCAGGTCTGAACCATGTGCTTGACACTAAAGGCAAATGGTGTATTCTTGGCTGCAGAAAGCTGACAAATGACTTGCAAGCTTTGTGGGGAATACTGGAGATTCCTGGTACCTTGGAAGCTCTGAGGTTTATTCACATATCTCCTTTTGGTGTTAGAATTGTGACAACTGTGAGTCCACTTTCAGGTGATTATGGAGGAGAAAAAAATAAAAACTCAGACATAAGACATTCCCAAAGAATTAATTGGTTAAAAGTTCTTATGGAATTTGGGATCTCCCAGGAGCAGAACATAAACCCAACTGCTGTTCAGTTAGGTAACAGTAAAAGCGTAAAACGCTGTGAAATGAAGGTCATGGGTAAGAACACAGTAATCTCCTTTGTGGCAGAGAAGAGGCTGTTGGTAAATCATGAAGGGCTAATATTTACGGGTCATATGTCCCTCCAGGCTTGGCAACTTGCAAATTTTGACCCATTTCAGTTAATTTCAGACCTGACATGAACACAGTGCATCAATATGCTCCTGTAGTGGAAAGGTGATGCGATGTTAATGGTGTGGGTGGTTTTGTGTAACAGTTCAGATCTCTATACCTATTTAATAATCAGATTCCTCTATGAATAAGGTAACAACCAAAACCAATGGTTGATTTTTTTAAAAAAAGTTATTATTTTCCTGTTTACTCAGCATCTGTGTTATCTTGCTCTACAGATCAGCCAACCAAAATGAGTTCATAGTTTAAAGAGTGTGGGAGGGAAGGAGTGCATGTTAATGTAGGTGATGGAAATTGTGCTTGCTGGCTGAGCTGTCCCCACACTCCCTGCCAATTTGTTTGTTTGAAATCTAAGAACTAATATATGATGGAACCCAAATCAGAGCAGTCCATGAGTGGGCAGATAGCACTATGTAGAATTTGCTAATCTAAATGTCATGATTAGTTGAAAACAATTCTTTGTTCCCTAAACTGCACATGTTGAAGGTGTTATCATTTATGAAAAAATCACTGCATAATAAAAAATGTATTGCATATATTGTGTATATGCAGAATGTCCACGTTTTCTTGGGATGACCATTTTATGTACTAAAAGCTGTCACTAACTTGAGTGCTGATAGTATCACAGAGTCTTTGATATGCTGACAAGTGGTTTATGGTGAACTGCAAGATGGAGATAACCCTAAAAAAATATGTGAGGGATCCAAGATGCTTTGAAAGTCTTGCCTAACTGCAATGGTTAAAAAGGCATGGCTGACTTTAATGCATGAGTGTTGAAATCTGTGTCTGGAATTATTGAAACAAGTTGAGAAACATGAACGGAATTGATAGTTGATTATTTTCCATTGTAAATGCTGGGAAAAGATGTACTGCGCTTTGCTGTGGCTTTTAAGGAGGGCCCACAGTGTCCTGTTTTGTTTTGTTTTGTTAACTTATCTTTTAATGTGAAGTGTCATTCCCAAAATGAAGTAATGTCCTTGGGCTGGTGGCAACAGCTGGAGTTGCAGAATTCATAAATAATTCAAAGAGGGATAAAGGGTGGGGGATTTTTTTTTTTTGTCATTTGAATCTTTATTATGTGCACACATTTCATTTTAGGTATGGCATCATTTGAATTCATTCGGTATGATGATTGCAGTGACCTGTCATATTTATTTTGATGTCCCTTCGAAGGACCATATGCTCTGTCCTCAGCATGAAAAATGATGCAAGTTGCTCAGTGAAAGGCAGCGCTGCTCCTGTAGGGATGAAGACCCTCACTTCCCGTTCTCACATCAGTGGATGTACAGCTACACGACAGTAGAGAAGGTGGAGTTGTTATGTCAGTGCAATGACTAAATGGCTGTGTAGTTTAGAGAATGGTGGAAAAAAAGGGCAAAGCTTTTTTGCATCGAGGTACTGTGTGGCATTATAAACTCAGCTGTCAGTGAGGGCCAGTTGGTGTGAGGAATCTGGCGTGTGGAAGATGGAGAAGATTAAAGCCAGACAGAAATCTGCCAAGGTGGAGGTGTGCCATGGTAGCTTTAATGTGGGAATACAATTAATTACTCTGTATGTTGGAAGTGGGGTTGCCATGCACACAGCCTTCCAGGGTTGCATGGGAGTTATTCTGGATATGCCAGGCTCAGATCTTTTTCTTTGCCCAATCCATGTCCTCCTTTCCTCTTGAAGCTGCTTGCTTAGCCAAACAAAATCTTGGATTTTTTGGGGAAAATAGGCAGTTGTAGTTTTCCTCTTCACTAATTCTGTTGTAACCATTGCATCTGGTCCTTCATTTATTTTGGTGGTGTGTTTTTGTTGACAAGAAGTATATTTTCCAGAAGTTACAGAGAAATCTACCAGTCTCAAGTTCAGCTATGTCCCATAAGTAATGAACTGCTTGATGATAAGTAATGTCTGGTCCCTACTGGCTGACACACATGGCTGGTATTAGCAATTCGTAGTTGGTGGGTAACAGGACTTTGTTAATGTTACTTCTGTATGCACTATTAACATGATAGCATTGCAACCACTTCGATATTTTCGTGGTATAAGGTGTAATTGCAGCAGTGAGTGGTGATTTGTATGAAGTATGTGGTCCATTGTGCTCATGCCAGTGGCAGAAGGAAGCCAATTAAGTGCAGGTTAGTGAAATAGAGTCACTAGAAGCTGTGAATGTGAATGATAACTGTATGCAAAATTGTTTCTTTTCTAGATCCTGCCATCAATGACTGAGCCTCCCTGAAATCTTCTTATCGGTTACTGCCAAGATGAGAAGGATAACAGGAAGGAGGAGTGCTTAAGTGGCTTTAATGACAGTTAATTTCATCTATTTATCAAATGACAGGTTGTTTTTTCCTCAAAACTCGATTGTCATGACAAGATGCTTTTGCAAGTCATCTTTGTAAAATAAAACTGACAATTTTTAGGCTACAAAGAGCTATTGTGTCTTTCTATACAATGTTGTCATTATGGTAAACCTCTGGAAAGTCTTTATTTTTGAAGTAATTTAACTTGCATACTTCATTCATTTATTTGAATGTCTGTTGAATGCTATGTGAAAAGTTTCTTGCCAGAGTTCTTTTATTCAATGGAATAGTTATTCTTACAATGCTCAATTTATTATTGTCTAAATTACTGTTGCCTTAGCCTCCTGCAAAAATGTTTCTTTTTGGTAATTCTTAAACAAATAAGGAATGAATGAGGTTTTGTCCCTGTCGTGTTTTGATCAGCATATTTTGCCTTTCAGTAAAAGTGTCTTCAGTTTTCAAAATGACACAAAGAAAGGTGCTTTCCTATTCCCCCCCAACAGAACATCTTTTGTGCAATAATTTTTTTAATATGTACACTGCCAAGATGCAATTACTGGAAGGAGAGAGAGAAGCTGTTGGGAATGTCATGTTATGCCAAATTAAGAATTATTAGCTCTTACTTTCTCTACAATCTCTTCGACTAGAACCTGACCTATTGCGTCTGGCATATACTTTGGCTCAAGTGGAACTAATGTGTCCTTGGAGTAGCATTTTAGAGTTACTTCAGATTCATGTTTTTTTTTCACAAGTCTGCTTTAAACTGCTGGGATTAACTTCAGAGAAGGCAAGAGATACAGCCTCCTTTGTCAGCAGCTGTGCTGGTTAAAGAAGGAGGCTTCTTGCACGCTTGCTTGCTCGCTCTCTCCGGGAGGTTATTGCCCCTGCTAGGGAAGCAAACTGAACTGCTTCCCTGAGCACACTCAGACTCATTTCAGCCAAAGTTAATCGTGTCATCAAATATTAGTTATCTATCACCCTGGGTCACTTTGATGAAAGGGCAGGGAATACACAGACCAGCTGTGAGGACGGTGTGTCTGGGAAGGGTGGTGAGGGTTGTTGAGGACTGGTCCTGGTGTAGCCTTTCCAGCAGGTGCAGTTTGCATCTCTCGGCTGTTGTAAAAATTGGACGTGTTAGAAAGCTGTGCAGTTACGTCATGTATAATATTCACATTTCATGGATATCTTGGATAATACAAAATAAACCTGTGCTTTTTGACTTACTCCTTCCGTGTGCCGGTGTGAGGGGAGAGATGTGACATAAGTGTGTGTACTTGGCAGACACCTATTTCAGGAAAACATATCTGGTCAAGGTACGGGAATGGTACAAATGTTTCCATTATCTAGAGAACACACAGTCGTGCTTTACTCATCAAAGAGGCTGCCTCAGCCAACACATGCCTCAGGAGAACTGCTTTTGACATGAGCTGCCTTGAGTGAAGAGGCGAGAACACCACTAGCAGGAGTGGCTGCCGCTGCTTCTCCAGTTTGAATCAGTAGGTGCTGGAGTCTGATGAGGCATCCAAGCTCCTGATATTCCCTGTGCCAAAATTATAACGGTATGGATAATCTCTAGTACTCAAAGTCATACTGAGAAACAATAGTGTGCTAAACAGCTCCTTCAACACTGACCCTTCTTGTGAGAAGGCTGTGGAGTGTAGGTGCTGTCCTATAGACAGCTTGAGGGTACAAGGAACAAGAGGCTTTCTGATCCTCAGGAACCTGAGAGCAGCAATGCTGCTTTCATCTCCTCTCGGGGCAGTGCCAGATGAAAAGAACAGAGTTCAGTCATAGAAAGGACTGAATATCCAGCTCAGCTGGCATGGCATCTATTGTCTTCTAATTGGCCTTGCAGTAAAGAATGAGGAAGTATGCACTGGCCATATTGTACCCTATGTAAGGGAGGAAAGTAATGTACTATGTCTAGAAAGGAAATGGTGTGTAAGGGGCAGATGCTGCTTTGCAGGCAAAGGACTGCCTCCCCTGGCTGGTTTATCCTTGGCAGCACTGCCTTATCACAGTGTCTTCAGGCCGCAGCCCACATCTGCTGTTCCCTGAACTGTGGGTCTGAAAAATAGTAATGTGAAGGGATGAGGCAGGTTGGGTCCCAGGACTAAGGCTTAAAGAGAGATTTGGATATGTGCACAAACTTAGAATTCACTAGTATTTTAAAATTCTGTGTAAAAAACTGTAGTTATGATGTGACAGTGGGAAACCTATTGCTTTTCTGCCAGGTTTTGAGTTGAATTGACTATGTACATGTTGAGATGTTGGACTCTTCAGTCGAAGTCTTTCTTACCTCGTTAGCCTATACGTGCAGTGTGGTGCTTGGTGTGTGCATAGTTCAAGGAGGCAAAGTGCCAGGCACATAGTTTCCAAAATCCTCAGCTTGCCACGATCCAGTCTCTGCAGTTCTGTGGGGAAGGGGGGTGTGGCTCCAGGTGTGAGAGCTGTGCCGTGTTGCAGCAGCCCAGGGCCCCATGGCTGAGCTCTCAGTATCAGTGCTGGGTTCAGAAGTAATATATCTCCTCCAAAGGACTGTTAGATGTCTCCCCTGACCATGAACTAAGTGGAAACAAGCCTCCACATCTTTCTGAGACAGCCCATAACTCATATAATTCTTTTTATCTTAATATGGACTATTGTAGTACCAAGGTTAAAATGTTTAATGAAATGCTTGTGATTCCCAGTAATCTTTTTGCCTGCTTAAGTGGTAACACATAGGTAAACCAGTACTGCAAAATAACATGTCTTACATAGAACACTGTTGCTCCTGTAACTGTTGTTACCCCAGTAAGTAAATTTTTACATCCAAGCACTTAAAATGATCAAATACTATAGTTAAGACTGCCATATTTTTATGGTGCTAAAAAGAAAACAAAACTTCAGAGAAGGCAGATTTTCTTCTTATAAATACTCCAAATAATAGGTTGGTTTCATATAGACTTCCTGGCTCTTTGGTGATTGCTATAATCTGTCTGAATCTATCAGGAATCCAATGCATAATTGTGTGTTTATTATGATAAATACGTGATTTTTTATATGTTCTCCACAAATATGTTTGACAAAACATAGTTTACCTTCTTAATAGGTACTATATGGTTACTTTCTAACTCCTTTAACTGCAGTTCTAACTTGATTGAATAAAAGGTGCATTTCTGAAAGTAATCTTTACATCTGTAATGGGACACCTGGTTTTATATGACTATTTGAATGCTCCAGACATAGCAAAACATTTTCAAGGCAGTATGTGTTGACAATATACAGAGATAAAAATCAGTTAATGACAAACAAAGGAGCAAACTTTTAATAAGGGCAATGAATCATTAGAAATTATTAGAAAGGGAATATTAGATTTTCTATCTTTTGGGTGAGGATGAAATGTTTTTATAGAGGTATATGCTTGAACAAATGGCTGGGTGGGGTAGAGGAATTCCTCACAGGCTTCTGTGGCTTTTGCAACACCTGGGGTCAGACTGGGTCATCTTAGACATCCTTTTGGCTTGGAAAGGAGTGAAAAGTCTCAGTGTAGCAAATATCTTCATAGTATGGCTGTTTCTACTGAAAAGTTACTCAAGGTTATTTAAGCTTCTCTTCAAAAAAAGGACTGGGGGAGGGCATTGGTAAGGTTCCTGTCTCCTAGTGCCATGCTTTTTTCAAAGGCTTTGGTGGGTTTCTCTTGTTCATCCATCCTCCCCCCCCCAGTCAGACATAAACATCTTTTTTTCAGAGCAAATGTCTTCTACAAAGTGTATACTTCTACAAAATGTAATGTTACCTTGCCGCTAGAAATAATTATTAGCTTTAAAATAATCTGACAACATCCTGCTGTGTATAAATTAGGTTTGTTCTGTGCTAAGATTAGTTAGCTGGCTCTCTTTCACTAACGCATTATAAGAAAATGATTACAAGTTGATTGTATCCAGTTATCTGACTTTTTTTCTTTTTAATGGGCTTTTTGTTGCTGTGCTGTCACCAAGGTTGAAATAAATGTGAGCGAGTCATACACTTCCAAGCTCCCTACAGCCTGGGAAGAGTGTGTTTGCTGTCCTGTACCATGAAAAGACTTGCGGGCATAAGTGTTTGGAGAAGGGGAGAGGTTGTGTGCACATAGATTTCTGAATCTTGTGCACCTTTGGTTTTGGCTAACGGGGATGTTTTCTGCTCTATGGCAAGCAATACATTACCACTGAAGTCCGAAATGCCGGGTATAATTGTGTTTAAATAGGTGTTGTTATTTTTTAACTTGTATGTTAGCCTGTGTTCATACAGAAGTCCATATTTTACCTGGGAAGAATGCTGTATGAATCAGAAAAAGCAGAAAAACTATTTAAAGTTTTGTGCTAGTGTTTAGGATTTTAAAACTAACTGTGAGGTCTTTATTTCTTTGTTTACAATTAATTAGGGTTAGAGTTTTAAAAGCTTAATGCTGACTGTAAGTGCTTTACAGTCAGTCACTGAGAATTAAGGGCTTGGCATGACTCACCTTTTTTTCCTTCAGTATATCCATTATTGTTAGATGCTGAGTAGTCATTACACATAGATGACTGATTTTTTTTGTATTTTACATTTTTACATGTTCAGAAAAATACTTTGTTAAAGCAGCTGCTGGGTGAATGGGGTAATTAAAGAACTGTACTGATTTTATTGAAGTTGACACGTGCTGCACATTCTGTGAAACTCAGTATGTGAGCAGAATCTTTCCAGGATTTATTGAAGGCAGACATCTAGAGATACTGGGGAGCTTTTCATAGTAGTAAAGATAACTTCCAAGTTTTACACTGTTACATAAATCTGTCTTTAAGAAGAGAGCTGTTATTGCAATACATTGCTTGTGTTCTTCATATTTAGTCTGTGTGTATGTTTAAGGTATGTACATATACACCTACACACAAATACTTCAGCTAAGCACTTTTATTTCTTGGTGATTATATATTCTATCTAGTATGTATTTGGAAAAAAATAGTATTCTAATGCTGACTGAGAATTTTAATTTGCTTGGTGCCAAAAGAAATCTGCAGTGTATTGTGGGGGTTTTTTGTTTTTGTTTTTGTTTTTGTTTTTTTTTAGCTGAAATGCAACCCTGCAGTTTGAATTGCAGCTCTTAGTGACTAAGTGTCGTGGTAGCAAGTAAGGAATCTTACTTAGCATAAACTGAGGCTTGGTTTCATTTTAAGTAGCATGATGAGTGCAATGTTCCACATGTGTGATACTTTTGCAACGTGTAAAAAAATAGACTTGTAATTGCCACACACAGTGACCAAACATGTTATAAAAGAAATTCCTCAAAAAGTCTGTTGAACAGATATAATCACCAATATGGTAATTTTTGTGTAATATGATCTTCTTTTTATTTTCCTTCCCTTTCTTTTTTCCAGTGTATTAGAACAATTTTATGTCCATTTGAGCATGTTCAATTAATCTCTGCCTTTCCTGTTAGCAGTTTATGTCTTTAAAGCATCTTTGACATTCCTTGCTTAAAGTTATAATTATGGATTTCAGGCAGAGGTAGGAATCATAGAGCTTTCAAGATCAGAACGTTTTTTAACCTCACTTCACGTGTGTTTTGTTTACATGGCCCATGGTGTGGAGAACTCTGCCCAGTAGCCCCTGCACTGGAAATGTGCTGCTGCTGCTTTCGTGAACGCTTCCAGCTTACAGCACTGCCATCTCCAGAACCCTCCTGAGAGAGAAAGTCTCAGAGCAGTAGAACACTGACTGGAGAAGCCTTTTCCAAAATCTTTTTAAATAGCAATAGTTAGTTCACAAGCAACTTTCACCCGAAAAGCCTGTGGCACCAGCATATGTTTGTGAGACATTTTTGCTTCCTGAAATGCTTTATCTAAGACCTTTTAAAGGTCTGGACTGGCTGTTTATCATCCCTATTTTGTGTGATTTCAGAGTAGAACGTTGCCCTTACTGTTGAGTTTTTTGTCTAAAACCATCACACTTTCACCTGTATAGTTTGGAATGTTTAAGCCTTCAGCACTTTTCAAGCAGTATGTTTGACTTACCATTATTGCACACGGTAAAATAAAAAACACTATTAAAATACATGCTGAAAGAACATTATTCATCATCTATGAATAAATATGTGGAAAAACCATTTTTAAAATTTTGAGGTTTTTACTAATTCTTCTCAACTCACTATCACTCTTTATGTGGGACTTGGAAAAGAAGAGGTTAGTTTTCCTTACCAGGATACATAAGGTGCTGTTGTGTA